TTAATGTATTTAAGCTAAATCTTTCTATAATGCTCAATTATTATAGCCCATTGTTAACTATTAAATAAATATATGTAATTTATACATATTTTCACACATACTGTCATTTCATATTCCGTCATTATTATTGAACTTATTTAATATAATAATTATTAAATGTAATAAAAAGAAATCCATTATTTTTCCATTCAATTCCATTCAAAAATAATGAATTTCTTTTTACTACACTTAATATTTCACCTTATAGTATTCACCTATTTTAATTTAATAAATTTTTAATAAATTATATCGAAAGCGATACCCCTTTCCTCTTAATCATTTTCTTGATTAGTGACATCTATCATTTCGATAAATTAAAAGTTGCCACTTTGTCAATCAACCTAATATTATTTTAACTTTCATGTTTCATGACTATTATGTTAACATCGAGTCAATATTAATTAAATTAAGCTTCAATTATTATTATATATATAGAAGAGGCTCCGTAAATTTCGGACTCATTTTCGTCATTTCTAACTAAATATAACATTGTGTCCTAATTCAAATTTGTCCGTGCTACTTCACGCTAGCTCAGCGTCCTCCAAGACGTAACAATGGACAAATTTAAGACGGCAAAGCGGCTAGATATACTTATCGAGCGATTAAATATTGATTGGTTAGATCTATAAGTAATAATCAATTATACTCATTTGCTCGGCGAGGCTAGCCGTTTTGTCAACTTGAATGCTCGCAATGTATTGCGATTCTATGCTCTAAAATCTCAGAGTAGTCTTTATGAGGATGATATCCCATGTAGTGGATCGTGCGTAAGCGGATTCGCGTATCGCCAATCATATAGCGTTTTCAGCCCAACCGAGTTTGCATTAACTTGAATTGAAGTAATGGTATTTCGTGCTCTCCTGTTGATAGAGCGTGTAATATCAACCAATAGCGAAGCATTTTCTAACCCAAGTTCAAGTTGGTGCAAACCCGGTTGGGCCGAAAACGCTAATAAAATTTGCGAAATTTGCAACCAGATCTAAGAGAATGATTCTGTGATTGGCGATACGCGAATTCGCTTACGAATGATCCGCTGCATGGGACATCACTCTGAGGCACATATGCCGTATTGCGTATTGTGTAACCAATTAGTAATCAATAAAACACAAAACCACAATAGCGGACCGCTTCTGATTAATTACGCGATAATATTGATGTTTGAAAACTGGCCAATCATAGCTATTCCTCTGAAGAATAGAATGATTGTGATTGACCAGTTTCATAACATCACATGTTATAACTTCGGCGTAAAGGTGCCATTTTATGCTGACGTTTGACGCTTATTTTTGGTGTCAAAAGACGTGACCATGCTGCTTGATGCCTAACGTCAAAGAAGAATTGAATTTGTCTATCTATTATGACCGCAGCACAGACTCTTGCATAATGCATAGTGCATAAGGGAATCAGTCAATGAAAATTCTTCTTTTCCATGAAATGAGAGGAAAAGAAAGATTCTAATTAATTGATTCGCTTATGCACTATGCATTATGCAAAAATCTATACTGTGGCCTTTAGCGTCGTCACTGGATTTGTGTTTATCTCAATTCTCGAGTTGTATTATTTCGATTAATCTCGATTCAAAATAAAAAATAGACTTTGATGTACGTAATTAATTTTTACAAATTTTATATCTTCTAAATTTTGCGATCTTCAATAATATCATACAAACCAAATAATATATTTCAAAAATACATATGTTATAATCTCAATTTTATCAGGAAAGATTATAATTAGCTAAAATATGAAATAACAATACTAACAAATTAAAAATAATTTAGAAATATTTGTAGCATTAAATTTAATATTTATTTTTCAGGATTAATCCCTCAATCTCATACAAACGTGCGGATTGTGTGAAATAATTTGCGAACAAACAAATACCGCGAATCATGCTTATTTAAAAGATTACACACAATACATAATTGAACCTGATACATTATATTTTTATCTTATATTAGGTAAATTAACTCCTATAATTGTTATATATAATATTAAAAGATAGACGTTTTATTATTTAATATATATTTTTATTTATTACATGTTATTATTTAATATCTTACAGATAATGGAATGACTATAATAAAAGCAGAGTACCAAGAATAAACAAAAAAAAAATAGTAACAATGCAATCACATAAGAAAAATATATAGATAATAAACTTGATAATTATATCAAAATAATGAAAACTTTTTTTATTATTTCTAATGTATTTAAGCTTTGTATTTAGATTTTGTTACGTCCATATATTATCTGAATATTATCTGAACAAAATTCTTGTGAGAAATGAAGAAATTCAGATGAAGACTTAAAAGGAAAACTTAATCATGATGAAGAAACTCTCATTTAAGAAGTCCAGTTACGAGAACCTTTTTGAAATTATAAACTCCATTACCACTACGCAACATAAAAATTACAAAAAATTTATTTTGCAAGAAGTAGCAAATACTTTAAATGGGGAAAATTACAACCAATATAGCTAAAATAAAATTTAAAAGCTTACATATATATACCAATGAATAATTAGATCAGAAACTAGCATCAGTGAATCTGCTCAAAAAAACAATGGAAACAAATGGCCTCATTACGACTTATAGAATTTTTATGAGATTCTTGCTTGTTGAAAATGTAAGAATTATATATTTTATTGTATATAAATGTCAAAAATATTATTATATTCGATACAATCTGTAATGATAATTTTAATATTTATAGCATCATGAGTAATATTGATTTTGAATGTTGAAAGCATTGAATCAAATATGTATTGATTGAACATAAAATATATTCTCTACTGTACAAATATTAAAACTATAAGTATAAAAGAACATTACCAATTTTCTATACTATTAATGAATATTAGAACAGTAATGTAACTTATTGTTCATAATATTTTTTTATAGTGGACTTTGCAAGAAAAGAAAAAAGAGTAATTCTGCCAAGGCAATAAAATTGCAAACGCATTGTGCAATGATAATGATATATTAATCTTTCGCCTAATTCCAGATGAAATCAATGCGTTTTTGTCAATATAGGGTGCCAGCTGTGAGAATTGGCTTTCGCAAACGGCGAAAGATAATGAAAAAGTTTTTAGATATAATATACAATGCTTTGGACGCACATGCATAATTTTTATTTATTATATTATATATTGTTTTGTTTACATTATATGTTGTTTTTCAATGTTATTATAAATACACTGAATTTATAAATTAAAGTTTATAATATTAACATTGATCAAATTACTATGGTATTTGAGGATCTCTAATTGCTATTATATATTATCGCTTCAAAAAAGAAGTTGTCGTTCAAAATTCGACGCTGTAAATCCTTTTCATGGATTTCAGTTGTTGTTGGCAACAATTATGATCACGTGATCCTTTAGACGCTAAAAAACGAACGGCGCATGAAAAGGACTCTTAAAGCATACCATAATTGTAGGCGCCGCTTTATAGAATTCCACTGAGAACTTGTTTTAAAGTAGCGAATTTGTGAGTAGTACACGTTTTACATCGCCGTATTTCGTGATTTTGACAGATTTCCTAACCTCAATAGTCATTAACTTTTAAAATTTAATATCTCTGTTCGGCATAGAGTGCCGAACACTTTTTGGTAATTATACAGTTTAGTATAATTATCTTAAAAATCATTAAAATTAGGTTTATTCAATGCGTTTTTGCATGAAATGAAAGAATCTGGCAAAAAAAAGCATCACTCTGCCCTGTGATCGGAGGTATTACAGTTGATAACTATTGAGGAAATCTGTCAGAGACAAAATGAAGGTAATTCTTTAGAAGAGCTATCTTCAATTTCGATGAAATTAGACTCATTCGATGCATTTTTACGTAAAATGAAAGAATCTAGTAGCCCAAGACTGTTCTGCAAAGCGAGATATTGAGCATTAAAGTTGACTAAAGTATTACTACGTAACGCGATTATTAATCTGTCATGACAATGGAGTGTATAGATTAGTGCTTATTGGTTCATGACGACTACGCTGCTCCGAACAAAAATAAAAATAACACATTCTAACTCGCTTGGGGCCTAACAACTAGAAGTTGCAACCTAGACAGTAAAAAGACCGCTCTAAAAAGACTTCTCATACTCCACTGTCTTCATGGGTTAGAAATATTCCAAATGAACCTGTCTAGGCTGCAACTTCTAAGCGATTAGGCCCCAAAGCTTGTGTTTAGATTCCCATTCTCCGGATGTTCTCCGGATGTCATGTCTTATTTAACGTTCGATATATAACAAGGACAGTGATACCTGGGTGGTATTCTAGATAAGAATCTATACTTAACCTAGTGGGTAGGATGTTTTTCTTTTGTTCGTGGCAGTGTGGTCGCCTTGAACCAATAAGCACTCTATACACTCCACTGTCTACACAACAGATTAATAATCTGTCAACAGATTAAACAGATGAAACAGAATAAAGTGTTACACAGTAACACTTTAGTCAACTTTAATCAACTTTAACGCTCAATATCTCGGCTCATAGGGCAGCGCTTTTTTTGCCAGATTCTTTTGTTTCGATCAAAAACGCGTCGAATAAACCTAATTTCACCGAAATCGAAGTTCTTCTGAAGAATTATCCTCATTTTGCCTCTGTAATAGATTTCTTAATCTTAATAGTTATTAACTTTAACGCTTAATATTGAGGATCTTTCAGAAATCAGGGCTTTTTTTTACCAGATTCTTTTATTTCATGCATCGAATAAGTTTAATTATATTGATTTTTGAGGTGATTATGCTAAATTGTACAATTACCCTTTTTTCTTTATTTTTACTCAAAAACTCATTGATTTAATGTATTTTTAACAAAATTTAAGGTTCAAAATTGATCAGGTTCTTCTTAACCTTATATGCCGCAGAATCTGGCTTGAAAAATTGAGTCTTTGGAAATATAAGATGTTCAAAAAGTATATCTTGCTTTGTCAAGACTTCCTCAGTATAGCTGAGCCTTTCATTGACAGTAACATCTTGAATCAGCTGAAATGTAATTATGCACATGAAATTGATTCAAAACGTAAATTGAGCCAGACAAAGGACCTCAAAAAGTTTATCAGATTACTGGAAAAACGAAATATTATGAGTTACAGTAATATAGAGCCATTATGGTATATATCAAAAAGATATATTCACAAGTCTGATTTAGAAAGCAAATTGCAAGGTTATGAAAGCTGGCTGGAGACTGTGTCATCATTACCTTTATGTAATATATATCAAAGTGAAGGTAAATATTTTTTAAATTAATGTTTTTGATATTTTAGAATTTAAAAAATATTTATAAGATAACAAAACAGTTATAGGAGTTTCGTTAAATATACAACATTATGCAAAGTTAATTTGAGAATTCTTAAATAATATAGTTAAGAATAAGATCATGTAAATAAGTATAAAAATTATAAACTTCAAAAACATGCAATTTTACTAATATTCTTAGAGCAACATGATTTCTCTTTATTATATAGTGAAACTTTCATAACTTCTACTACACGAGGCTGTGAGAAGTTAGAGATTCACTCCATTCATACATTAGGGGCGGAGCATTAAAAAGAAATAGTATATATTACATATAGTGAGAACGTTTGCACAGATGCCAATGCAACATAATCTATTTTAAGAGGATGCTAAAGCCATCTGTATTGTCCACATTTTCACTCGGTGAAAAATATCTGAATTGGATTTATGGATTGCAAAATTGTTATTATAGAATTAAAGTAGTACACACAAACCTCAAGTACACAGGACTTCAGCTGCATTGGATTTTATGAGAAAATCGAAAAAAAGTTAAAAAATTCACTTTTGGCTCGTAGAGCTGTCACCTCAGGTATATTTGCTTGATGTAAGAGTTTTAGAGGCCTGTTCTACAATAGAGATGTAAGAGGTAAACCATAAGGAATTAACTAATCATAGTCGATTATTCTTCTCACACTTAACTGTGATTGGCCAATTTCTTACAGCTTACGACTTGCGACTCTAGAACAGGCAATAGAATCCATATCTTAAAAATAAGCATGCAACTGAAGTCACATTACTGGAACAAATGATACCGAGTTTGTAGAATTAAGATTGAAAATCTAGAAGAAAAGTTTTTTCACTAAGAGGAAAATACGTGAAAATACCTATACGGATTCTTTGCGAAGATTAGGAATGTCAACAAAGCGGAAATTCCGTAGCAGTAGGTCTTGCAATAGATGATGGTATATGTTAGTTAAGGACAGATATATGCGATTAAAACAGAACGATATATAATAAAGATAATCGGTTTAGCAACCCCTTAAGTGTTAAGGAACTTGATCGATTGATAGTACAGACTTTTTTAATTCCAAATGAAAATTTATTTTAATTTCAATAATAGAGATGACATCTTTGATTCATTTCTTGCATTATATTAAATATGGGAAAAAGTTCGTGACGTTTTTTAGATGTAACGGGAAAAACGCCACGAACTTTTTCCCACACCTAATATAATATATATCGTTCTGTTTTACTCAAACGCATAGTTGGAGTAAAGCAGGGAGCACAGACTCTTGCATAATGCAACACATAAGACATAAGAAAATGAAATCAAAGTGCTTTATTTCCTTCCTTTTAATAAAAGTAAAAGTAAAATAAAAGACTCTGGTTGGTTGATTTTCTTATGCCTCATATTCTATGCGTTATGTATAAATCTGTGCTTCCTGCTTAAGGGTATATTCACACAACTTGTATAACCACATAAATGTATGCATAAAGAAAATTATTCAATCGCATTTTTCTTATAAAGACATAAATAAAATGTGATAGGATAATTTTCTTTATGCATGCGTTTATGCGGCTATGCAAGTTTGTATGGATATACTCTAAGACGAAGAGCATACTCTTATATATCGCATAACATGTAATGTTTAAGAAATTCCAACCAATCAGAGTTCTTTATTTCATGGGAAGAAAAGAAATGAAGAACGATTAGTATATTTTCTTATATATTACGTGTTATATGTTATGCAAGAATTTGTGCTCCCCGCTTAAGACAGAATAATATATATTATATATTATATAATATAATGTAAGAAATAAATTAAAGATGTGAATCTTAGTTCTACAAACTCGATATCGTTCATTCCAGTAATATGACTTCATCTGCACGCTTATTTTTAAGATATAGATTCTTATATCAAACAAATATACCTGAGATGACAGCTGTACGAGCCAAAAGTAAGTGAATTTTTTAATTTTTTTTCAATTTTCTCATGAAATCCAGTAAGATCCTATTTATGTGTACTTTAATTTATGTAACACTTTGCAATCTAATCCATAAATCCAATTTGGAGATTTTTCACCGAATGGAAATGATAGTAAAACAGGCAGCTTTGGCTCCTTTTAACACTGAAAATTTTTATACATCACAAAAAAATTTTTATACGTCACATGATGGAAGGATTACATGGTGTGTTCAGTTTATAAGCGTCTCTCTCTCTAAAATTAACACTCTATCGTTTTTCTACTTCTCGTTCCATAAGGCCTATAACCACAATATAAGTATATACACGAGCGTCGGCACCTTTGATGTAGTGGGTCCCAAGTCTCTCGCCGCCATGTTGTGAGTTGGAAAGGCGCTTTTATAAATTCGAGTTTTTATAAAACTACAAAATGATTTTCTAAAAAAAAAACATAATTTGGTTGTGTCATGAAAATTGCTTATAGTGAGTATATTTGAGTATATTTTTAAATCAGAATTATATAATAATATAATGTTAACGAATTCATTATATAAAAATATTCACAATAATAATAATAATATTATTAAACAATAATAAGTAAATTAAAAATAATAATTGATTAAATACTATATGAAAATTATAATTGAATAATTATGTATGAAAAAGTAATATATGGCATGAAAATTGTAATTAAATGTGAAGTTGTAATTGAATATATACATACGCACGCACGCACGCACGCACACACATGCATACTTTATAAGAGAATACTTTATTGTATACAAATATAGCAGTCTACATAATATAGCGTTTCCGAAAAAATTTGATTTAATTTTTTTAATAAAATTTAATTTTATTAACACTTTGTCATACTTTTCTCTTACAAATTAAAAAAAAATTAAGCTTTGTACGAACGACGTATCATGGTTCTCAGCCGTAATACTCATGTTTGGCCCGTGTTTCCTTACTATGAGGATTACACAATATTGTAGGCGAAAAGGATAAGTATATTTTATGGAAAGAAAATACAGTTAAGCTAACCTAATCTAACCTAATCTAACCTAATCTAACTTGCAATTTCAACTTACTGAAGGCAGCCATATTCCTAATTGGAAATCAACGCATGCGCACTAAAAATTGGGACACATAAAAAGTTCAGTGTCCATACTGTACGTATTTATATTGTGCTACAACTATAAAACGTAAACATGGAACAGTATTCATAATCCGTTTTTATTTTAAAAACATTTTAAATATAATATCTTAAGATGTTAATACAGTCCTACGGATTTACTTATGACATCTTAGATTGACATCTTAAGACAGTCGTAGGATCTGAGCACAAGAATTGATGCAACTGATGAATTGAGCAAAGAATAATATTTATTTAGAGACTTAAGTTGTAGACGTAAATAATGCACAAGCTTCGGCATATGACTATTTGCCGTCTCTTTTAGGGCTGCCGTAGACAAAATTTCTGTAACAATAACCTTAAGACGTAAACTTAAGCCGATGAATCAATCAGGATGCTTTAGATCTACGTACTCTAACAGAAATACAAATAGCAGTAAATTTATTCATAAGGTGAGTTTCAACCAGTTAAATTTATTTTTTTGTGAGATTAAAGATTTATTGTTATTTCCATTTCTGTTAGATTACGTAATCTAAAACAATATCTTGATTGATTCATCGGCTTAAGTTTACATTTTACGCATACTGTTACGAAATTTTGTTGAAGGGCAGTCCTTAGAGACATGGTAATAAGTTGTACGTCATACGTGAAAGCTTGTGCGTTATTTACGTCTACAACTTAAGTTTAAGTAAATATTACAACAATTCTTGTGCTCAGACCCTTAAATGTAATAGCATTTTCTCTTGGCTGCACTATCGCTCATCAGTGCAACACTCAGACAGTGTAGCGTATTTCTTTGGCTATAGTGCAAATTGTATGCACGAAGTGCATACCAACTTCATGACGCGAAACAAATCGATATTCATAGTCGATTCTTACATTTAAGAATGTCTTAAATCAATCTTAAGATATTGTAAGTCAATCCGAGGATTGTAGATACATCTTAAGACATTATATTTAAGATAGTTTTAAAATAAAAACAGACTATGAATGCCGCCCCATGTTTCGCAGTTGGTAAACTGCGTACTTAGAGACGATGCAAAGTAAGCGTGGTTTGGCCAAACTTGGGAGCACACTATGGCTGTGATTCGATTCACGCTCACACGCTTAAAAATTATTTCATTGTTGTTTATCAAACAACAAGGAAGACAAGCGATGCTCATGAGCGTGTCAGCATGAATTGGACTACGGCTGTAATCTTTCCACCATGCTACGTCATGTATGTATATGAAAGAAGAAATGAAATTATAGAGTACTAAAGTTAGGAAAGTTTCACTGCAGATACATTAAAATAACTTGATAATACATTGAAATAGTTATAAAATAATTTGATAAGCATTAATAAATTATATCTGTCTACAACAGTTTTAATATCATTACTAGCATCAGAATTTATTTGCTCAGAATATGCAGAATATGCAGAATATGCAGAATATGCATGCAATTCTATGTTATCTCAATTGTTAATAGAAAACTCAACTAAACCATTCAGTAATAGTTCACAAACATTATATTGTAATTCTGAGCAAAAGGAACAATATAATCTTTATAAAAGAAGAAAATTACAAGAAGCAGGTATTTTTAAAATCTTGAATTATAATTTTTTTTTTCTTTATTCGTAATGTGTTTATATGGCCTAATATATCAAACAATCGAAAAAGAAACCTGATAAATTTTTTATCACACTCTGTGTGCATGTATATACAGCGTGCGCGTCCATACACACAACAAAAGTATAAACATATATATATATATATATATGTTTATAAACGACCACGTA